AAAAGACACATTTGGATTATCTCATCAAGCACAACTCATTAAGCCAAAAAGCCCCCAAAACAACAATCATGAATGTCAAGATCCACTAAAATAATATGATCGCATAATTAACACGAATAAAATCAAATCAACATTTTTAAATGCATTTTTCAAAGACATTTTTCATCGCCGCACACAAATCGAGCCAGTAAAAAATTTATTTATGACTGTTGATGATGATGATGATTGGTGCTGTTAAAAAAATCAGTCTAGCGAATATTATTAATGAATATTAATTAGATACGATCGGAGAAAACCTTTTTTTTTGTCGCTGACCTCTGAGTCTCCATTTATGGTCAAATGTTTATATTTATATATCACACACATGACTGGAATTGGCACAATTTGGAGCTCATTGACGCCACGTTTGTGTTTATAAATTAATTTCATGGTCAATGATGCTGGTGAGGTCTCTTTTATGTCCGAGATTGCAATTTAATTGCACTTTACAAGAGATAGACTTAATTAATCCTTGGAGATAATCAGCACGGGAGTTATTCATTAGGCACGTCTAAAGAAACTTAAACTTGAGAGTCTAACTATCCTTAGATAGATCCAAAACTCAAACATCACATATTAACAATCCCACAGACGATTGTGGCATTGAACATACATATTGTATGTAATTTATACTTTTTTTTGATAAAATATTCTCGAATCCTAATGGCTCTCTTGTTATTTATCTTAATTAACTGCGTTATTAGCATTCGCAAAAGGCTTTTGTTGTTTCTTTTAATTAAATACGATCATATATGAGCACTAAATGTGCTGAATCACACAGAAATGAATTGCAATAATTATATTTGGCACATCAAAAAAATGAATTCGCTTCACTTGAGTTAGTTGTCTATTTTTTTGATGGCTTTTGGACATGCACGGTTAAGATACTTGTGGAATTCTAGGAACTGAGATAAGTTTTCAAGTATTTGCACAACTTTTATTTTGAAAAGAGTTCAAGGAATCTAAACTTTGGATTTTTGGGTTGGATGGCTTTTGTTTGGATTTACTGATTTACGGATTAAGCGTTCAATTGGTTATTTTTGTGCTGTAATTAAAGATTTTAAGGTATTGTTGGGAAATAATTGAATCAATAGAATCTTTTGTGGACTAATCTAGTGAGCAAGATAAACTTTTGTGTTTCTGTAGCTTTATCTTTTGATTTAGAAGTGATTTCGATCATTTAACCATTGTGTTTCAATGCTTTGCTGCATAAATAGCATTGTTTCCTTATAATTCATGTTTCAATTCTTAAATATTTGAATTTGATAATTTAACGGTAGAAAAAATTTGAATTTTTCATGTTTCAACTAGTTGCAATCCCCCAAACGTTATTTACAAAAATTAATTCTTTTTTATCAACTTTGACTAAAACAGTGAATTCCAGCGTTACTATAACTTCAATTTAATTATTAGAGCTTTAATTTAGCAATCAAAACATCCTTAATTGCCGTTCAGTTAAAGGAGAATCAACAGATTCATTGCTTATGCAACAATCCATCAACTCATTGCAAAACTAATTTTTCAGACAGAAAAATTAAGAATATTCTCTTTAATTAGCACAATAATAATCCAAATAACTTAATAGAATCCTTAACAATCGAAATTAAACTATTCAACAGCTCCAATCAACAATCTAAAGCAAAAAATATTCAATTCTGAAGATTTAATTAATTCTAAACTTTAGAACTTGTTTAATCAACCTCAGCGTTACGTATCATTTTTATTTTATTTATCCATTTCCTTAATTTACAACTCAATCGTCATTAATTCTGTAACAAAACTGTGTGAAAAATATCTATCTCATATGCTGACGAAAACATTTAATTATCATTTCAACTCATTTGTGAACTAAGCACAAATTATCTTTCAGACAGAAACTGGTTGATGCGATTAAGCTAATGTAAAAATCATGTATGTGTAAATAAACTTCAAAAATAATCGGTTTGGCGTACTTAAGAAAATTTAAAATTTGTGACCGTGAAATTTTATTTGATGTTTGTAACGAAAATTGAAGGATACGAGAATGATTGCGGAAGGAAGTGGAACGTGCTGAGTTATATGAGAATTATTCAGTGTTGTGACTATTTTGATGAAGATAAAGTTCAATTTTAAGGAGATGATTAGTGAATAGTGGCATGTTTTGGAGTAGATTGGATTGAACGGAAGCTAATCAACGATGTAGCTAGAAGAGGGAAGTTGTAAGCTACAAATTTAGTTGGGTTTACACCTGTTTTTAAAGCTTTTACTAGCCTTCACAATTTGGGTTGCTTTAGTATAACGCATCAAATAGATTTCAGTCACTATTCTGTACTATTTTCATTACTACGTTCAACATTGCACTGTAATAAACAGCACATCAAGAGACATTATGCAACAGATTTCCCTCAGTCATGTAAATAACTTCGTGTGAATTTAATTATTTGTGATTTTAATCATTAAATTTTATGCGAGCTTTATTGAAAGGTTAACAAAATCATCAAAAGATTTCTCCCTTCAAGCCAAATCAATTATGTGCGGATCGCCTTTCATGAACGAGACTTGTCACCATGTTTACTTCTCTTTAATTTTATCGACTTTTAAATGAATTTTTATCGAGTTTTTGACTTAAGAATGGGAAGAAGGGGTTTTGGGTGTCTGGAAATGTTGGTTTTATGAAAAAGGTGGGATCTAAGGGACAAGATCGTCTACAATGGACCTAAACATTGAACAGAGACAAGCCAGAAAGTTCTGACTCTAACTCTGCTCAATGGAATCCCTAAGAAGGTCCCTGAATTAAAAATAAAAATTCGAAGACATCAAAATGATTATCAATATCCACGAATGCACTCTGCGTCAGCTTAAAACATCAGCAGCTACAAAGTATCATGACAGTAAAGTTTTAGCCATATTAATCGACTTATAAGGAGATTTAATTCCTTTCGTCTCTGTTGCTTTGAGCATTTAATATTAAAATTTTATTCTGTTAAAAATTGCAATTTTTGCTGCTCATCAGCTAAGCTTCTTCCCTTCTTGGAAAAAAATTGAATTTAAGAATATTTCATTCTTTATTTTGAAATCAAAAAGTTTTTAATTTAAAGCTTCAAAAACCTGAATATCAATCATAATTTTCGTATCAAATGTCTTCCCAAAAATTTCTTAATCTCCTTTAAAACATAAAAATTCAAAATGCAGCATAAAGATGATTAAGGCAAACGGAAGAAGATCAATTTTTGATGGATGAATGGATATTTTTGCAACATTAAATCGTTTCAAAAAATTCACAAAAAAGGTTTCATTCAATTTATGCAGCTTTGGATATAATCATACGATCGGCGAATTTAATTGAAATATAATAAGATGTGACATTTGCTGAAAGACATTTTTTTTTTCATTGCATTTTTCTCACATTTTATGATTGTCGGAAGCGTTAAAAGGCAGAGATTCAATGCGACATCAAATATTTTTTAATTGTTGATAGACGTAAAGATTGAAACAAACGAGACAAAGTTGGTTTAAGAAAGTAACAGTTATTGCATGATGAGTTGTGATGCAAATTGATAGAATTGACTGATTTTTTGATGTGTTGCATAATTAAATTTGCAATTAATTTTTTATAGTCATCTTTTGAGTATGAGAAGGAGTATTGCAGTGTTATGGTACTTAATAAAGATACTTGGCATGAATCAGCTACGATTGAAGACTCAGTCGAGTGTTTTAAGATGCATAAAAGTGCAGGATAGTCCAAACCACATGTAAACTAGAAAAGAGCCTGTATAGACTCTAAGGTAAGTAGCGTAGCCCAAATTTGAAGTAACATCTCGAGTATCCTGGGTTCAAATCCTACCATCTTCTATATTTCTGGTTTTTCAGAAGTTTAGATACTTTGACTACTTAATATAAGAGATCAAAACAAAAATAGAACTTAAAGTAGCATTTGATCTATAAACAAGGCAGCTAGTCTTACACAGGAACTCAAATAAACCACAAACTGTATCAATCTACTCAAAAAAACCTTAAAATCTGCATACTTTCTTTAAAAAATTATGTACTTGTCACATGAAACACAAAGGACTACCAATATTTCACAGCACAAAAAAAAATTTAAATTAAACCTCATGTTCAGGCTCATGTCAACGATTGTAAAAATTGTATTGCTTCTGGCCAAACATTCATGTTCGAATAAATCATACCAATTTTTAACATGACTTTTAAGTAAATTAAAAAATGTTAAATTCTACAAGTTTCTTTAACAAGTATGTGCATTTTTCACGAGATTAACCCTAAAGGAGGGATTGTGACATTTTTTTGCAACATTCTAAATTGATAAATGATTGTTTGGGTTTGGTATCGCGAGTGTCTGGTCTGTATTTAGATTTAAGAGAGTCGTTGCTTCAAAATTGTCAGTTTAAAATCTTAAAAATTCCAAAAACTCATTGAATATTCAAAAACTGCTCCAATAGTGTCAACCAGAAGTACCGGTATCGAATCAAAACAAAAACAAACCTTGCAGAGCTCGCTATTCTCCAAATAACTCACATCTAGCTCTATTAATGAATTTTTAAATAGAATTTCCATAAATCGCGCGTAAAAACCTCCAAATGTCAACATTAATTGACTCATTCATATCAAAATATGTTGCATAATTTCTTTTAACACCCTAATATATGTAAATAATGGTCTCAAAAATCGTATGTTTCAGACCTGTCATTTTCCGTCCGTAAATTGAAGTGATTCACATTCAAAATAGATCACGAAGAATAATTTCATTTAATTAATTTTGAGATGTACATTAGCATAAATTTTGTGATCCACAATCTTTGTATATTGAGGAAGTCAGGCGTGCGCCTCAAAACAAAAACAGAAAAAAATGCAAATTACGCAGTAAAACTGGATCAAAAAAAAGATTTCGATCCAATAAATTATCTTGTCTTATGTTCATCGGCATATGATTAAAAAGTAATAAAAAAAAAAATAATACTCACAATGGCAAGAAGCTGCAGGTGATACATTGATTGCTTCTCAAAATCCAATGGTCCGAGAAGGAAAATCGTTCCTTCAGTCATTTCGGGTGAGACAATTTTTTGTCGTATGGCGAAGAGCGGTGATCCCCATAATTCTAAATACACTGGTCGTGGAAATAACGGATTCTTTCTTGAGACTATATAATCTAGTTCGGTGCCTCGTTTTGCATCCTATGATGAGATAAAAAAGTAAATTATTAATTAATTAAATTGAATGATTAAAAATTCATAAGAATTGAATAATTATGATAACAGCTTTCAGCTATTAATTTGTAATTTAAATATTTGAGATCGAATTTTAATGGCTTAGAATATTATAAAATTATTCATGACGACGTGCTGCTTTAATTTTCTTCTTACGAATAATTATAATTTTTTGATGGTTTTATTGGCGCTAAAATATTCTTTTTTTGTTTTTTGAGTGGAATTGGGATTCTTAAGACAGTCTTGACTTATGGTTGCATGATTTTGCTGGTTATGGAATGTTATTGTAAGGCTAATGAAGTTATTGAAACATATTTTGGAAATTTGAAGCTCAAAAAGCTTAAAATTCATTGTTGAAAATCAAAAAATTCAAAAACAATGCATTTAGCACTCAACAATTAATGACCAACCCCAAAATTACAATCCGTAATTGATTAAACTCCTCATTAATCTACACAATCAAAATAAATATTAATTAAACAAAATGTCAAAAAAATTTCTCCACAAAAAAGGTAAATAAATGCCCAACTCAATTTGCAATCCATAATTCATGTAATCCCAAGAGCGATTAGCCTCATTTACATGTCCATTAATAAATTTCAGGCATATTAAATATCTTTCTTTTAGTTTTTAATAAAATCTTTATTTTATGATTATAAACTCTCCCTCAATTTACACTTCTCCTTTTTGTTGGTGCTAAAAGATTTTTTACAACTCTTTCGATTACTCACTATTATTGGATTACGATATGTAAAACTGTTTTTATGTCTTGAATAAAAGCGCAGTGAGGTACAGGGAGATACGAAGGAGAAGCAAAAATTGTTTTTGTGTCATAAATTTACATATTACATCCCATGAAAATTGTTAATATGTAATGTTGTTGGGACTGAATGGAGGTTTGACTTAAGAGTTCCATGTGACGAGTTTGGGAAGATTCTTGAAAAATATTAATAGCTGAACTGTCAGAATTTTAGCTGAATTGCCAAAATTTTGACTGAATTGCCAGAATTTTTCAGCTGAATTGCCAGATTTGTAGCTTAATTGCTAGATTTCTAGATTAATTTACAGATTTCTTGCTTAATTGCCAGATTTCTAGCTGAATTGACAGACTTCTAGCTCTATTGCTAGATTTCTAGCTGAATGCCAGATTTCTATCTGAATTGCCAAATTTCAAGCTGAATTGCCAGATTTCTAGCTGAATTTCTAGATATCAAGTCAAAATACAGTTTATAATTCAAAATGCTCTTCCAATTTTGAAGCAAATCACTTAATGCTCTCCAGGAATACCCATAAAAACACCCCACAAGGAACTCACCGAGACTGAAAAGAGCCATTACTTAAATCAACTCACTCAACAATTATTAATTGGTTCTTCGTTGTGTAACTTCTGTCTTAATTCAATCGAAATACAATTATTTTAACACTTTATCTCAATATAAACAACACCCAATGCGAGGTCAATAAATGTACAATGAGGTACTACACATGAGTACGACCCGCAGAGTGAAATGAGAGAGTTGAATGTAAGGAAAATAAAGATTGAAAAGTAAAAATCAATGTTGGGATATACATAATGGCTATGTTTATATTGAAATATGCATAAGCATTAAGTAATTTATGTTTCCTTTATAATGTTCACTTACTTTAAAATGTTGTAAGGAGAGAGAGCAAAAGTGAATAATAATTTAAGTTGGTGAATTTATTGATAAATATAAAAACAGAAGATTTCTTCAAAGAGAGCTGAGAAAATTAAATGAAATTTTATGGCAGGAGATGGAAGGCTTTTAGAGGTTATTAACTGTAAATATGGTTCGTTCAGGTTCTGATTGAAATGGAAAGAAACTTTGAGATTTCAAGTGATTCTGGATGATTAAAAGCTATTGTAGAAGATTACAGAATCTTTATAAAGATATCAAACGTAACCAGAACATAACAGCCAATTACATATGCCTATGACTTATTCTCCATAATCACAGGATGTTCTGCGACACTAAGTACACATAGTGCAACAACCACTTATTAGCAAGGTTCAACTTATTAAAGAGAAAATTTCTACAACCTCACCATGAGAATTCTTTTATAAAGATTACATGCTTCTTATATCACTCCCCTCACAATTTTTCTCATAATATATAGCACTATAAAGCATTAATCGAAAAGAAATCATAACATTAAGTCCCGCATAAAGTTTTTTTTAAAAAAACGAGCTCTTTTTTAAAATTTATAGGCGGCAATTGAAAGTATAGAGAAGTTGTAGTTGAAGTGCTGTTAATAACATTTATTGCTACTCGTTATCACATAAATAAATTGATCATCTGTATGATGATCAATAGCAGCAGCAGCAGTACTCATACGTAGGGAGCAGACAATTTTCATGTAGATTTAATTAATAAAGATGTTTCACTTACCTCTGACACCATTATGATGCTCGTACGTTTCGGAAAGATTAAATCGGTTGGTGTTGTAAAGTTCGTTGCGGTAATGGAACAACTCTGTTGTGCCATACCACCTTTCGTGTCTTTAACAGACACTTGGAAGTCATAATATCGTCCCGGTTCGAGACGTCGTCTCAGTACAACATTAGCTTGACATACTGAATTATATTTTGTACATGGTAATGAGTCAATTTGTACTGTTGATGACGATGAATCGCCAACAAGTTCAAATGTTAATGGATAATCAAATTCTTCATCTGATGCTCTCAATCTAAATATCACTGATCCTACTGCAGCATCGGCTGGTACTAATACTAATCTCATCGTTGTCGATGGATCGAAGACGGGATCTGCTGTTGCAGCATACTTAATTATACTAAATAAACATACGAGCCATAAAGCTATCACAGTTGAGTAGTTCCTGTAATGAATAAAGAGAAAGAGGGAAAAATATTAATGAATGAGAATTATAAAGAATTTATAGAGTAATTTGCTGATGAAATTGAAGTTCAAGCTGGAAATCATGTAAAGTTTGATGTAATTGCTGTTAAGTATAAGTTTTGTTACATTTTTAATGAGATTTTCTGTAGAAATTGACAAATTTTGGAAAACCACGTGCTTTTGTTTACATTTTTAATTTTTTTTTTGTTTTTTCAAAGCTTTCTTAAAAGTGATTTTTATCTTACTTCACTTCTGCCATGTTTTAACACCTTATCCAATAAGATTTTCATTGATTAAACACCAAAAAGCACAAAAATTTCCCAAAAATCTTTTCAAGGTGGAGAAAATCATTTTGGAAACGAAATTTACAGACACAAATTAAATGCACTTTAATTATACATTATTTTACTCTTAAATTTATCTTTTCATGAGGTTAGTCAAAGCACGAAATCTTCACTTTCAAGTCACTCGAGTCAACACGACTGCATCATGACTGTCTATACAAATAAAAGAAAAAAAAGTCATGAACGAGAGAAGAGAGAGATATTGAGGCACAACTTTATTATTATAATATCTCAACATCGTTTTTATTGTTCTCTCCCTAAATCGCTATAAATTAAGGCAAATATAATGATTACTATAATTCACGATTGGATGTGCCGTATATAAAAAAAATACGAAATTCCCCCCTCATCAAGTTTCATTAAAATTACATGCGAGAGTAAATGGAAGGCTGGATTTATTTATTGTACAACTCTTGTCTTTTGTGTGGCGATCGAGAGCAGAAAAAGGCACACCAGCAACAACGACCTTCCTGGAAGCCTTGCCATCAGCCTTTTTTGTGTTTATTAGTTTAAAGCATCGCAGAATGATTTGGCAGATTTTTTTGGTCGTTGGATCTTCTTTGGGGCAACTTAGAATGGTCGATATCTTAAGGCTGCTCAGTGAGCTTTTTTGTGATTGTGACTTGATCTAGAGGGCAGGTAGACGTGATAGATCGAGTCATTAAGTCAGTTTCTTGCTGGTTTTTATAGATATGAACCGGTATCTAATGATGGCATCTTACTCCGTTCTTAATTCTATTTCACTTAATCATCTAAAACTTTAGAGTAAATGCGCAAAAAACTTCGTCAGAAAAAGGAACACAGACTGAAAAATTATTTTTTTTTGCATTTAATTGGTGTTATTGTGGACCAGTTCTTTCTGGATCTAGATGATATGGGATTTTTGATGTTAAAGTTGGAAATTAAGGTTGTTTCGTCTCTAATGAGTTCATGAAAACGGATCTTATCTCGATAATTGCGTCGTTTGATCTAGAATATGGCTGTGTTGGGTAATTGGTGTTGCTTCTGAGTTTTGTGTCTTGTGTGGATTGTAGTATTAAAGCAATCACAATGTAAATTTTAAAAAAAAATTCCTCAAAACCACGTGATTTGTTTTCTTTTTCTAAATTATTTTGAGATTTTAAAGAAATTTACATATATTTATTAGCAAGAGTGAACACTGTTTAGTCTGTGCCACTTTTTTATAGCTGATTAGTCAGGAATCTCAATTTAAAATCAAGGAAATCTATGAAAATTTAACATAAAACTTTTCGAAGTGAGAAAAACTTGCAAGCTAATTTTTCAAACGTAAAAAAACCGTTAAATTCTTAAACTTCTATAAATCATCAAACTAGTCTTAAATAAATGATTAATATGCTCAGACATCACAGTTAGAACTGCATTTATAAATATAAATCTTCAATATATTAAAATTCGAACAGTTTTTCAAAAAACTCATCTTAAAAATATCAAATTTTATTTGAAAAATTCCAGAAGAAGAATAAAAGTAATTAATTATGCACACATTTGATTTATAGCTGACAACGAAATGTAGTCTATCACTTCCAAAACTTTGAAAAATAGCCTACAAGAACGAAGAAACAAGATGGATCATCCACAATCCATTCATCAATGTAAAAATAATTCTCAAAGATTCAAAAATAAAATAAAAATGCACGAAAGAAATGAAAATATTCAAATTTTGTCTGTTTTTGGAAGCTCTTATCACGTGTTTTCATCTACAAGCATTTCTGTCTCTGTTATTTTTGTTCAAGATATGTCATAAAATTGTTGCTCCAAAAATGAGAAAAAAGCTCGTAAAAAATAAATCAAAATTAATCAATTCCACCGCAATATCATTAAAACAAAATAAAAATAAAACGAGATAAAAATGAATGTGAATAAATTTTAATGAATATTAAGCTGATGACACAAAGAAAACGGTACCGCTTGTATATCTATATCACTATTGCTTCCCAAAAAAATGAGATACTACCAATGTTATATCTGATCATGTATTCAAATTACAATCTTAATCGATTATCATATTTTCTTTTCCCTTTTTTTCTGCTGTTTCATCTTTCATCTATTTCACGAAATCATTGTTGATTATCGACGATTAATTTCAGACCGTGTTGATTTCTTCATCGATCAATTTTTCAACGATATTTTTTTGGGGGTTATCAACAAGTTAAGTCTATTTTAATGAAACTTTCTTGACTTCTCTTCTTTCAGATAAACAATATTCATTCACAAGAGTCTGCCTTACCTCAATACTAGCCATCATACCCAAATATACCCGCTTTTTGTTTGATTGAAATCATGCAAGTCGCTTACTTTTTATTGCTGACTATGTAATCGAAAATATAATAAAAATGAACAAGATTTCTTGCAATCTCATCTGACGATGTGCAGAAATTAGACAAAAGCAAAAAGAAGGCAGGCGAGCAAGTGAGTTTTGAATAATGAGAGGATTAGGAGGTTTTGATGGATAGAGGATGTGACTAAAAACGCTTTTTATTAAGCTGATGGAAGTTTAGAGACTGAAATTTGGGATGAATGAAGTTAATTAAGGTTTTTTTTTGAGATTAAAAAATTATTTTAAGTAAAGACGGCTTGATCTGAGATGAAGTTATTATAGACAAATGAAGCACGACTATCCTTGTTACACTTGATTTGAGTTTAAAGTCAAGTGAATTTAAAATTCCTTTAATACGTGCTAATTCAGACGTTTTAATGCAGAAATATATGATATACGATTGAAAAAGCAAAATTGTTTCAAACACCACGTGGCTTTCTTAATTTTTTACTTAATTGTAAGATTTCTAGTATTGATAAGGCTTGAATGGACATAGATCGATGTGTGCTACTTTTTTAAACCTGATGATCCTATTTTCACATCATTTGTCCAAGAAAATCGTGGAAAAATTTATAAATTACTTTTCGAGGTGGATGATTTTTTATTATTCAAATTTTTAATAGCCGTTAAAAGGACTTAAGTTTTCTCGAAAATTATTAAAATATGAAAAATATTTGTCGAGTTTGATTAATTGGATATATTAGCTGAAACTAGAGTTTGATAATGAATAGAATAAACAACAAACTTTATAAAACTGTCAGAATATTCAACAACACAATTTAAATCCTGTTTTCCTTTTGTAGCTCCATATTATTGCTCCCATGAACACTTGTTTCAACCTCATAGTCTATTCTATTGCATTCAACCTGCCACAACCAACCCAAACTGTCTATCTCACAACTTTTCGCTTCGAGCAAATCATTCACAGTCAAAAATTGAGGTGCGGGGTCTTTTCAATACCGAAAGATATTTTTAATTGTCTACAAGATTTGAGGATTACAGTTAGTTGTGATGCTAGACAAATAATTGACATTGACACGAGTTCACGCACACCAAAATTTCTGTCAAGAATGCTGATTACCGTTTCTTTAAATCAATTTCAGCTAGTTTTCATCGCGATAATCAATCAATGAAGTAACGTTAAACTTCTGTGGGTCGCCGATGAAATAACTGAGAACATTAGTCATTTTTAAATTTCATCACGTTTTTCCTCTCTTAATTGAATAGCGAATTTGCCATTCCCATTTCATCTGCGCATATGCGATGTGCGCCTTCATTCGAAATTGCCACTTTGAGCACATTTTTTTTTAAATGTTTATTACAATTAATTGCAGCACTAATTTTGCATCGCTACTGATTCCCCCTTAATAACTCTCACTCTCTCGGATAATATCTCCTCGAGATCTATAAATGGTAATAAAATGAATGGTTAATTTATTAATTGATATTTATTAAAAGAGTTAAAATTGAAATTCAATGAATGGTTAATGGATATTTGCTAAAGGGATCGTGAATTGATTATTATTGCATAATTATGCAATCTCAGTCGATTTAATTTCTTCATTGAGCTTTCTATGTTGTGGTTGATCTCGAGTCGATTGCTTGATTGAGACTTTTGATCTTTGAGCGTGCGATCGGTGCTTGTTATTACAGTTTTAAATTTTTTAAAATTGCTGGTTTGGTGACTCAGGAATTAGATGCATGACTTTGGTGATGGGTGTTCTTCTTAATGGCTTGATTTGCAATGGATTTTAAGGTAGCAGAAAATGTTATTCGATGTAGATTGAAATTGATCTTGGAACTCTTTGGCTACCTTAATCTCGAAACTACAAGAATTTCGCTTGCATTACTCATTTTCCAAACATTCCGAACTACAAAGAAGTGGCAAATTGATCTTTAAAAAGCATTTGTTAATTGTGCTTTATTGTGACATTTTGCTGCGAACATGATCGCAAAGAATTTGGCATTTTAGATCAAAATGTGAGTCATTTAAATAATGATATTTTGGAAGTTTTAAGTTTTGAGACTGAGGAATTGGACAGAATTCATTAATTTGCAAAGTCATAATATGCCGAAATGTATTAGGAAGTGAGCTAATTTGAAATGTTGAGTGATTTTTGTTAAGATTGACGGTGGTTAAATATTTTGGATTCGAACTTTAGATGTTGAACTTAGATTCCCAATCAAACACTTGAACCATTCAGCCACACTCAATCAACCTTCTCTAATTTTAAAATGACACCCAAGCAACTTAAGAAGACAACATGCATCGATTAATCTTCTTAATGCATCATCTTCATGCATCCTACAACATTCTACTTGAACCTCCTTTCAAATTATTGCATAGCATCCAACTAACCTACATGAATATAAATTAATATCCATTGTTATGACTTACCAATGCCATAAGTGCATCAGAAGCTCTCAATAAAATATTTCAAATTAAGAAGCAAAAAGGAAGGTGATAAATTATCACCAATTTATTTAAAATCTCATTTGTCCTCATTCTCTTCTTCTCGATATGAAGCACGCATACTCAAAAATCATTGAATTAAAATTTTTTTTTTCACAAAAATA